TACATGCCATTCCAATCTTTGCCTCTATTACCGCTCAGTTTAATCAATCTCTAAAGCAAAATTAGCCTGCTTCCTTAAAAAGTTTTGCTCTTCCACCTGTTTCATTCTCACACCCAATCACTGATTCAATACATATCTACCTTCTAATATTACTTGTAATTTGTGTCATATCTGGTATCTCTCTTTCCTTTAATTCGTGCCTTGGTCGTTCTGCATTTGGACTGTACCATTAATCTTCTGACACCCTGATTTAAGCCTCTCCCCTTCTAATATTTTGTTCTACACAATACCACGTAAGCTTTCAAAACCAAGATTTTGGGTCACTGCTTTACTTTAAAATCTTCAATAATAATAATGGCAATGGCTACCATTGGTCGAGTACTTATCATGTATCACAGTGCCAGCCTAGGCACTGTGGTACACATTTTACATGGACTATCTTCATTAATCCTTCAAAAACCCCATAACAATATTACAGATTAGAAAATTAAGGGTTGGTGATATTAAGTATTCTGTACACTGTGAAAAGGCTATTAAGTATTAAAGTAGAGCTAGAATTCAAACCCAGTCAGCCTGACTCTAGAACCTGTGCTCATAATACAGAGGTTATACTGTTTATTAGCTTAAGTTTTAATACCTCAACGTGGTGTACAAAAGATCATTTCTAATTTCATCTCCTGCCACTACTTGCCAAGCACTTTATGCACTATTGTCATATTATTTCATGCTTTTTAAAAAACTCTATGCCTTTTGCTGTGAGAAATTCTACTCAGTCTTCAAGGCCCACCTGAAATCATAATCCTCCCAGTGATGCTTTCCAAGTAAGATAGTTAATTCCTTCTTTACAGCTCCAAAAGCACTTTGTACCTAATTCACTGTATTATTTATTCACAATAATGTCTCAACTAGATTGCCAGCACTTCAAAAGAATCTTACTTATCTAAGTCAATTCTGTATACCCAATGCCTAGTATAATGCCTGCTACAAAGCAGGTACTCAATAAATGTCGCACAAAGACGTGGTCTCAATCCTCTGCCTATTGATATCCTACCAATCCTTCAAGGCCTCCTTCCTCCTATGCAAACTCTTGCTAGACCACTCCTGTTTAGAGTCATCGCTACCTTCTTTGAACTCAAACTTGCTGCATCTGCCCCTTAGCTTGCAATTTTTAATTATACCCATCCTTAGAGTTTATATAACTTTTCAGGAGTACTTATTTCCCCAAAGACCAAGACTGCATTTTATCTTTTATATTGGTTGTTTTCCTACAATTTTTAGCATACAGCTGGCATTTAATAAATATTTGCTATTTGATTACTTTGAGGTTTCAATATAAATTTTATGTATCAAAGATGCCCAATCGGCTTCATCTTATTTCATTTCTGTGTATAAACATTTTTGTGATAAAATAAAGTCATATGATTGGCACCAAAACACACCTCATTTAATAAATCAAGGCTTTTTTCACCAAACTTTTCCTTACAACTCTTGCCAATTCATTCAATAGCTCTAGAACCTGGAGCTTTTGCCTCACTACTGAGCAGCTGTATTTCCTCCTTGGCATTTTCCTTCTAAGATGACTTGTTACCACAATGTTCCTTCTTTCTTTCTCTCTGTTACCACAGTGTTCTTTCTCTCTTTCTCTCTCTGTCTCTGTCTCTGTCTCTCTCTCTCTCTCTGTCTCTCACACACACATACACACACTCTGTTCCTTTGCTTTCTCTAGGACATATGGTACTGAAGATTTATTTTAGCATGCTGAATAGCTTAATGAGGGTGAAAAGGAAAAGAAAAATCATTTTTAAGACTTATCTTTTTAGATAGGTAAGTCTGCAAAATAGATTTTGCAAACTAAAATTAAAATTCAAGTTGGTTTAAAATATAATGAAACAGAATTAGCAAGAAGCACTGAAGAGCTACACCTGATCCCAAGACCTATGTGATTCATCTAAAACTCTGTAATGAAAAATAAGCAATCCTAAGAAAGCTAAGTTACTAGAAAACACTTTAGCCAAATGACCTGAACATAAATAAATCATAAGGCTACCCATTAGAACTATATCAGCTTTAAAAAAATAAAACACACACACACACTTCAGCATTTTGGTTTAATCTGAAATTGTGATAGTTTAAGAGATGAGGTTAATATAACCTAGGAAATAAAGAAAATATATTGAATCCAAAAAAGGGAGTCACATTGTGTGTGCTAAAATGAACATACAATACAGACATTGCAATCTAAGTGATAAAGGTGAATTTTTATATCAAGACTAACAGATGTAATAATCTCAAGGGACAGTCTAGTTTTACAAAAAGGGGCACATTTTTAAGTATCTAGAAAGAAAAAGAAGTATCTGGACAATTCAGGTCAAGCAAATGTTGGGCGGAAGAAGGAAAGCAACATATGTAAATCCAGGATTTTATACTTTAATTACCCGTACCAATTTTGCTTATGTGGTAGTAAGGCATTTGTGCAGATAGCTGTTTTTCCTAGTTTGTTTCTATTTTCTTATTTCCAACTTCTTATCTTAGCTAAAGAATAGAAAAATGCTTAACAGAAAATAGTTAAGAGGGCATACTATTTCACCTCAACCACTTGGGCTACAGCAACTTTAAAGAAGAATTTGACCAGAACCAGTAGCTGGAGTTGGCTCAGAGCTAAATTTAACTAACCAGAAAACCTAATCACCACTAATAAATTCAGTGAAGAGCTAAGCACATTTATACATGAGTATCTACAGTTTTCCAAAATCTCAAACTTCACATGAAATAAATTTTAGGCAACTGATATCAAACACAGAAAGACCTATGTCTCTTTCAAAACCTATGTGACCATAGGCATCCTGACTAGAAGTGTAAGAGCATAAAATTGAGAGACAAGAAGGAAAAGTTTCAGGGAATAAAAAAGACTACTTGCATTCAATGCTAACGATGGTCTCCATAATATTACTACTATGAAATGGTACAGCTGCAAAACTAGCACTAATTTGACTTTTTTAAAAATCCAAATTTTAACAAGTTAAACTTGAGTTGAACTGTGGTCATATATCCTGTTATCATACGTAACATTTTGGTACAATTATTGAATGAGAAAGAAGGAAGCCTGAAAATGAAATCTAAAAGTGGATTTCTGTATGAAAGGTGAAACTCCTGATAATTTCCAAGAAAGTCAGAGATGAGACTCCATGAGCAGTGCAAACTAGTTTGTTGCAAATCATCTCTATAAACATGTGATCCATATTGGCCATTCCAACTGGTTAACAGATTCCATAAAAAAATAAAAGTTGTCTTGATGAAGAACATACTACTGAATACATGAGATCTTATAACCATGAGCTTTATTTAACTGTAATTTTCTATACCAACAAGCTCCTTTCCTATTTTACCTAAATCAAATTACTTTTATTCCATACCAATCAAATATGACTTTTGGGTTCACAACTTACACCTAAGGAAGATGCCTTATGTTTGAAATCTTATTTTTACTGTATTAAAGCACTACAGGAAAAACATTACCATATATATGACAAGAAACAAGAAGATTCACAAGCATAAGGATAGCATAAACTCATTGTTCAGGAATGTGATTGGCTGTCCCATCTAATAAAGTGAAAAGTGCCCAGGAAAACGAACACATAATACAGTCAGAAAACAGCGGCTTCTCCTGTTCCAACCCTCACAAAACTCCAGGATTTCATGATAGGATGAATGCCTGAACTACCAATTTTTTTTTTTTTCTTTTTAAAAAGATTTCTTAGGACAAGGATTCCATCAACTCTTTATTCAGCTCATTCGAATGCCTGGCCCAGATGGATATACTACAAGTTTTAAAAAATTATTAAAGGAGGCTTAAATTGAAAAATTGACACAAAGAAAAAAAGTTTTCTCGTTTTCAATTATTTTAATGGAAACACATATGATCAGATTTTAAAAACTGGGCTTATGAGTGTTTAAACATTGTGCCAGCATATTTGAGAAGCTGAATGAAAAAAAGTATCTTCCAAAAATAAACATAATAACAAAAATTATTCTAAAATGATTTCAATTTCTTGACCAAGCTACATGGTAAAGAAAAATCACTCCAAATTGTTTTTCACCTCCACAGCAGTGTTTGAAGTTGATGAGCTCTCCCAGAGAGCATGGAAATCTTAACTCTCAATCGGCTCTCAATCTCAATTTCTCTATTTTAAATTAATCTGCTGACCTGTTGTGGGTAAACATCCATAAATTTTGTCCAGCTAAGTATTTAACTTTTTCTTCGGGGGGGGGGGGGGAAGGGGTTTTGAAGGGGAGGGGCAATCCCGTCTGGCTTTTGACCAAACAATATTGACGGTTTTCTAAGTAAATGCCTCTTCCTATCCACGAGGCTTTTTGTCTTTTATGCTGACTTTTCTCCTTCTGTTCTGCATTTAAAGCCAGAACCCCCAAATCTTGCCTCGTCCTTTCACCCTTGTACAATCCCTTATGGTTTCCCCCAATTTCCGCGCGGGGTGACACCTGAAGGCCAAGCACAAACCCCTGGGGCTGGCGCTAACTAGGCGCGAAGACCGCTGTCACTGGGGAGCAGGCGCGGGCCAAAGCCGAGGTGATCTGACTGCTCATCACCCGGCCCCGCGTGGTTGAAGGTCTCGGAGCCCCTCAGTCCAACCCGGCAAGACAGGCGTGCAGCTGTCGCGAAGCAGGAAGCTAATCGCGGCCTCTGGGCCGCTTTGACAGGCCGAGTAGGAAAACAGGCTCACTGCAGCTAGTAGCCTCACCCCTTCGGCTAGGAGACCTCGAGAGCAAAACCCCCGCCCCGGCCTGAAAGCAAGCGAGAGACCGCGGAGCCGCCGCCACCAACACAGCCCAACCCAGCAGGGGCCCGCCCAGGGGCCACTCCCCAAGGGAGGCAGCCAGTCACTCGTCCGCCCTTCCGGGCCCACTCCGGAGGGGACGGTCTCCTGCCCGCCCTCACACACCGTTCCTCAGGCCAGGCCCCCAGGGCTTCGTCCACCTCTCACCTTTGACGACGCGGTCAGCCCCGGGAGGGGGCGGCGGGGGCGGGGGTGGGGGCGGTACAGCCCGGGCCGGCTCCGGGGC